GGAAAATGTATCACTACCTGTTGAGTTGACAGATATATACTTTTTTTTACTTTAACTTCTTACTTTAACTCAACAGACTGCTTTAGCTCTGCCTCCTTTGCTTCCTCTGATCTACTGCAACCATATTTGCAAACAAAAGCAGGATGTCGTAACATTGGCTTTGCAACAGCAAAATAAGTAGGCTATCTTAGGACTTTCCTATATTACAAAGCATTAGATTTTACGATAGAGTTCCACGTATTTCCCTGAACCCCACAGCTTGCCGTATGGATGTTGCTTTGATGCAATGTAAAAGATCTGGATTTGTTTAGCAAACTATACACCATCTGGTACGAAAGCAATACATTTGACTTTCCTTCCTTTATCAGTATCCTTGCACTTTCACTTAAGAATGTGCGGCCCATTCTACAAACACCACCTCCAAATACCACCAGGCGATAAGGAGGTGAAGTGGTGAATGGAGATGTTAGTGTGTAGGAGCCGGCGGGGAGGGAGTTACACAGAAGAGGGGAGAGGGGGGGTGGCGGGGTGGGGTCCCTTAGGAAAGACAAAACACAGGACCAGAGCCACAGCTGGTAATTTGGTGAGAGGTCACTCACAGTAAACACAAGCTTTTTAAAGAGGGTCTGGAAAGGCCATTACTTCCTAAGCAGTGTGGGATGGAGAGAGATTAGGGAGAAAAAAGAGCGCAGGGACCCTATGAGAACTCCCCACTTCCTATGTGTATCGTTTATTATTGCAGGCAAAACAAAAACTTTTTCCCACAGCGTCCTCCAGCACAGGCCTGGTCAAACTCAAAGTCTCAGGGCGTCCATAACATCATTATGTAGAATTCTGATAAATATTCAAGGACCAACCTCGTGACATTAGTGTGTTAGTGTGTTAGCTTTTCAATGCAGTATGATGTAATGTCAGTTTGTCATGATCCGCCTCATTTTTATTCAGTGTTATTACTCTCCAGGGTGCTTACTCTTGCACTGTATGTAGTACAATGCCTAATACTACAGCAGAGCCACAGTAAGCTAGCAGGTCTGCCAGCCATTTAGGTAATGAGATTTGAGATTACAATATACAAGGCCCTGCTGGTCTGTGAACTGGAGTCTGCTATGGTACATTACCCTCACCTTATCGCAGAGCAGCCCAAATATTTTACTCTAAACATTGCACAGAAACAAACCAATGGGTCTGCAATGAAGGACAGAACACAATGTGTGTTTCAGTCTCTGTTTATGCGCAAATCAGTGAATTCAAATATATTAAACTAAATAACTAAATTATTTGGGTTTGGAGGCGTTCATTTCCAGCTTAAATAACATGTAAGATAAAGGTAATTATCGCTCTAACCTCTGGTGACTTGACCAAATGCGTGCTTTTTCTAAGCGGGACCCAACATTTCGATAAAATAACTCGGTGAGAAAGAAGGCTCCCCCTTGGGTCATAATTATAACTATCACACTGTGTCCTTTCATCTGAAGGCACACCAGCAGACTTTCCCTCTTCTGCTGATCACATGAACTGAGGTTTTCTAAAGTGAGTACGTACACAGTAACTCTGCACTAAAACAAGCACATTCAGGATCTTATTTCATTGCTAATAGTGTAAACTGAGTATTCAGTGTTGCACAACCCTAAAAAAAAAAAAAGACTTGATTTCATCTTAATGTCACTGGGGTTACACCCTTTCTACATTCAGACTCAAGGCAAGAACAACACAACTGTTCTGATCTTTCAGAGTCATGGTCGGATGAGAAGCTTTTTCACCTTTCCTTCAACTTCCTCACTGAAAAAAACAACTATTCATCCCTACATTAACTTGTGAGAGGTTTTATGTACTTCTGTTCCAGCTCTGCTGGCTTTACTTGCTAGAAATAGCCGTTAGTGTGAACATCCTCACTAAAACTGCTGGCTCCTGTTTGTTTGTGTGCATGTCATGGTTCATTAGCTTGCTACAGTGTATGTTAGGAAATGATAAGAATCAGTATATCGCTACCAGTCTGATACTAACTCATGGTACCATACTATTATGCACAAACAGCTGGGTGGATGTGCACAGTAGGAACATATGCACAGTGATAGTGCCATCTAGAGAACCATCTCAAGGTGTGCAATTGTGTATTTCATTCCATCGCATACCTGCCATTTGTTGTCCTAATACTGGTTTAAATTGGATTTCTGGTTTGTCATTCGTTGAATAATTGCTAGACAGCTCATCAGGGTCTGGTCTAACAGACCTGTAGTAAACTCAACAATAGATAAACATCTCATGCAAACAAACACTGATAATGAAGGTCAAGCAAATCAAGGCAATTTGTTCCTTTGTCGCAAATAAAATGTTACTGGAGATAAGCAGAAGTTCCTATTGACAGCACACAAAGGACTGATTCATGTGAGGTCATTCTGAATGTTACGCAGGCTGAGAGTGGGAGGCATCCAACTGTTATGCCCTGGAAGAGTGCAGAAACAAAGAGGGGCCGAGACTTCAGAGAGTCCAGGCAGGGTCTGTGTATCTAAATGGGCTGCTGTGCACAACATAAATATTATATAAATACATTATCATAATCTCTACTTTAGAGATAAAAAGAAAAATTTGCCATAATAACCAACAAACTTTTTTATAAGGTTCATAACTTTCCAGTGAGAATGATTCACTGGTATTTACGGTCAGTGCGTTGGCTTCAGTGTGGTAACAAAGACAACCCATTATTCCCTCTCTCCTGGATGCAAGCCATTTTGTCTGTTTTAGCCCTGTGAGGCAGAAAGCATCCATGAGATAAAACGTCTCAGTATTCAAAGCTCATTGCCAGGACAAGCTTGCTGGGCCTTAATGCTGATTTTCCTCTTGCTTTATTACATCTAGTGGGTGGAGATCTTTGAATGACACCCTTTATCTTGCTTTGGGCTTCATGAGGGCAGCATGCTTTGGACCAAATGATATATTTTCCTGCAAACAAGCCTGGTTGTCTCCATGAGGAACCAAGAAGAAAAACCCTGTGTTATGTGTATTCGGAGGCCCTGTGATGTTTGTGTATCTTCTCTTTGGTGTCAACTCACTAGACGCCTAAAGGTTGAGTTTGTGTGCTAGATAGATAGATAGATAGATAGATAGATAGATAGATAGATAGATAGATAGATAGATAGATAGATCGATAGATAGATAGATAGATCGATCTGTGAAATAAATCACTGCAAAAAAAAATGACTGTCGCTAGGTTTTAACACTTGCTTCAAGTGTCTTAAGTTTCGCCAGTCACTCTTGCCATAATTTTCATCTGTAGACTCATGTGAGCAGCTGTGCCCTTGGACTGGCTGCATGTGTGGAAACAGCTGTGGGGATTCACAATACCTTAACTAATTCCACATTCTGCCCTGAGGAAAGCCAGCCATGTGAGATCATGGTTTAAGGTGTGTCCAATTAGCAGGGCCAGCTCCGAGCAGCACGCTGTTGAGATTGTTAGACGAATAAAGATTTACAGCTAGAAGAGAAAAACTACTTGTTCATTATTCTCATTATTTACTGAAAAAAAAGCTTCTTAAAATTATTTTTCCAACGACCACCGCATAAAACAATTGTAATCGGGTTCAGTCTACCTTATGTTAAATACTGCACCGTCTGTCTTGTGTATGATAGAACAGCCAGCACAGTGATTCTGGCAGGGTCCGTATTTGGATAACAAATGTACCGTAGCTTTGGGGGTCACATGAAATCTTCACATGTGACTGCATTTGAAAAAGTGAGAAGCGGCGGCTTATTGGCTCCAAATATGAGAAGCCACAAATAAGACCAAGAACATGTGCCTTCCCCCACACCCCAGCTGCTTATGGAAGAGTGCGGTTTACTTTTCCAAATAATAGTCAAACCACAGAGAGATTTAGGTAGTCTGCTGCTCTCCGTTGCCAGGGTGTGTGGCTGTGCTCCCAGATTACACAATGCTTATAAAATATGAATACACACAAGTCACACCAAGAGAGTGTTTTTTTGTTTTTTCTTAAATGATGTGCCTGAATGCTATTTTTACAAATGGGAAATTACAGTTTGCAGGGCAGGGCTGGAAACCTTGCATAGCTATCATGGAATACTGGACTGGACACAATCATATGTTAAAATTCTCCATCTCACCTCTAATTTAAATCTCAAAAACTCAGCAGATCTCCTCTGAATGCCAAAGGAGTGAGTAGTGACTGTAAAAAAAAGAAAAACTCTGGAAACTCACTCCCTCTTTTTTAATGATTCCAACCACTGGAATACAGGCAACTGACATCATCTCCAAGTCCCTGAACCAAAACTGATGGGAAATTCCATCATGTCATATACTCACGGCACTTTTATCTGTGATTTTCTTTGACTGTTGGACATGACGAATCACTATTTTATAGAATATCAGTTTCAAGCCCAATGAACGCATGATTTCCACAAGAGAAACGACCATCGGGCTCATCAGAGAGAGACAGAGTGTTTTGCCTGCAAAATACTTCCCATGACCTCTACATATGGTCAAGGCAATTTCTCAGTAAAACTTGGGAGAGCAGGAAATGAGAAGAGTTCAAAGGTTGAAACGTCTGCAACAACTGCGACTTCACCAAGATGCACTGAGTGAAAGGAATGTTACTTGAAAGTTGGTTGTGCAGATGCATTATTTTACAAAGGTGGCATTATATTCATACCTTAAATAGCTGGGTCAGGAAACAGCTGGTTCCCTGCTACCAAATGTTGTTGTCAGCACCACACAGTTAGCCACCAATAGGTAGAGGAGCTTGGTTTTGAAAAAAAGCAAACATTTCCACACTTTTGTTTCTATTTTTCATACTTAATCTGTTTAATACTTTGATTTTCCAAACAATAACGTGAAGGATCATGAAGGTTTGGCTCAGGTGAAAGTATGATGACTAATATTTTCTTTCTGAGGCTGCTGGTCTTACAGATTTCTCCCTGCTTTCTCTGTCACTGACCACTAAAAATACACAGGTATGACAGCTAATGATCCAAATGACAATTCTACATACCTCAGACCAGAGCTCCGTGGATGAGGCTGGGATCCATGATCATCCATGACCAAACTCATTGGTTTAACAAAATCCCTCGGACTGGTCAAACACAAACAAAAAGCACAATTCATTTTTTTAGTAAAAAGTTTACATACTAAATTGTGTTAAAGCTGCTCTAACCTGCTGCTTTCAAGTGATGCAAACGGGCAAATACTGAAATATGGGCGAATCCCACATGAGGTCATCAGTTTTTCAGTCATATGAACGTTTTTTCCCCCCCTTCTTTTTTTGCTGGAAATAGGCTTAACGATTTAAAGTATTTACTAATCCTGTCTTACCATGAATGTAGTCGGTTTTCGACGCAGTAGTCAACTTCCATCTGTCTTCAGAGGGGTAACGTTAGTTGTAGACTGCTACAAACACATTTTGTTTGGATAAATGATCCATAATTCCGCTCTGAAGTTCCGTGTTTTGCGCATTTTACGCAAACCATTCCAGTGTGGTAGAGTATTTCTCTCCTCCTTTTAACGCACGCAGTCGGACATATCTAACTCATTTGGCCCCTGACACTGTGGACGACTCTGCAAACTTTTCTCTGTACATCCAAGACACTGCATCTCAACACTGAGCTGTTTAAGTGGGGCGTCTCTCAGATCCAGTTTACCTTCCTTCCCTCCAGGATCCTGATGAAGCGTTTGGCATAACGGTATCGTGGCCAAGTTAACATCTTGCGCAATAACAACCCGAGACAAGCGCGCATGGGAACAACAACACATGTATCCACTCATTTAGTTTGAAATAAGATGCATCTAAAAACAACAGCGTTGTTCTTTTGTACTTCCTTTTAATCAATGCTTTATTTGTCTACAGTGACATCGTGTGGCTGGATAGGGATACGACAATTCCCCCTTGTGTGTGATACAAATAATTCAGAATAACAAAGATCCAAACAGACAGTTAATTCCAAAAGTATGTGTTCACTTTCACACTGGCTTTTATGTGCAGGGTATTGTCATGCTGAAAGAGGAAAAGATCTTCCCCAAACTGATTTCCCTTACTTGGGACTAATGAGACTGAAGCCCAAATCATGAAAAACAAGTTTAAGACAATTCAATATTTGGTGAATGCTCATTTCATACAGGCGGTACAGTAACAGAGACATTGGCGTCTGCACAGTAGAACATCTCCACACCGTGTGAGCAGTCTTGAGGGTAGAGGCCAGTCATGATCAAACCGGTGATCATGACAAAAAAGCCGATTATTATTAAGATGATGGGTATCAGGTTTTCAGTCTGGAACCAGCGGCCGGTGGAGAGTTTGAGGAAGCACGCAGATGGGATGATGAAGATCAGAGGTGTGGCACTCACAACACCCTGTAAAACAAACACTTTAACACTCATACATAGTAACTGAAGTGAAATGTAGGCAGGTACAGACTGGCTGAGTTGATATGACTTACATTCAGCTCCAATACAACTCCCAGACAGTCAAAGGCCAAAGACATTGACGTGCAAACTGCAATTATGAGCAACGTTATGGCCGCATGTTCAGCTTTTGAAAGATCCCTACTGAAAATGACGTTGGATACCACCTGAGAAGATACACAAGAATATGAACAAGAATATGAAATCTAACTGCTCCTGCTGCACATATATATGAATGTATGCATTTTCTGCAGATAGAAAAACAATTTTAATCAGAATTGTATTTGCAAGTTGAGAGAGGACCCAGTGACACGCCTCTACAGCTGACACTGTTGAACTGTTACCCACTGAGCAGCTCTGCAGGAGCTGTTGGGTGTAAAGTGCCAAGCTTTTCTTTTTGTTCAGCTCAAACCCTCCAAATACCACTTTCCCTCACATATGAAAACGTTTAACTGTTAAATTCTTAGGTTGGCGTATGAGAAACGTATCCCTTACCTCTCGTGTAACGAAACACTCCAGTGGAAATGTGGTTATTATGCTAAGGCCAAAACAGAAGCGGCCAAATGTTGCCAGGTTATCATTTCTGCAGTAGTTCTCAAATATGTCTCCTAAAAAGTGGAAATATGAGATCATAAAAACACATTTGTGATATTTAAAAGAAATTATAGGCATGTGGTTCAATATCTCACATATTTATACCTTGTGTGTAGCCGGTGAAGGTGGTGTAGCCAGCGACAGCAAATGCAGCACTGACTATCAGCGCGGAGCCTACAGACAAGTGGGTGACCCGAGACCAGTTAGCTATCGTTGGCTGCTGCAGGGAACCATAGATAAGAAAGCTGTTGTGGTGGCATATAAATGCTGAAGAGACACACAAGGGCAGAACAGAAGTTTCATTAACATACAGAATAAATAACGCATAAGTAGACCTTTGCACATACTCTATGTCTATAATCTATGTCTCATTTAGTTCTCCTGTTAGCTTGTATGAACAGGGTCTCCTCACATGCAGACATGGGTTTGATGGTACATGAGCAACATAATCCATCCCATTTAAGACAGTGCCTGTCTAGCCAGGCTACTTATTTTCACATGCACATTCATCTAAATGACCCCTTGTAAAGTAGCTATTATACAAGGCCTTGGTGGACGGAGAACGAGACAGACCCCCACAGGGTGAACTGATGGCAGTCCACTAGGGGACAAAACATCTTTGAGGTGTTGTGCAGTGATTTAACAAAGACAGTATGCAAACTAAATCCATAGCCTCAATCTTCTTATACACCAATCAGCCATAATGGTCAGTACCTATCAAAAGTGGTCCAAGGGCGGACATGTAGCAGACACAGTTTGAAGGATGTGTAGTGTATGAGGCATTGACCTTTTTCAGGTGCATGGCAATGCATTTGACAACCCTTGTATCCTGTTTTCTTGTTTTCGTAACACAATTTGTTTTCTATCATTAAAACGGCGTCTTGGCTTGTATTTTCGGTCGGAGTTAATAATTTTTTTGTCTACCAACAACATACTGCTAAACTATTCTAGGTATCTCCATCTTCAACATCCACATGCAGACAAACTCACCAAAAGACATTATAGCAACTGCCTGAATTGCATTCCACTTTGCAAATGCCCATGCATTCTCTGTAGGGAGGCTAGAGGATGATATTCATATTCAGTCATCAGGGAACACAGAAACACATGATGATGTTTGTATAACAGCATTTTAGTGGGTATTCGTTGAAAAACAAGAACCCCATGGCTCATACACAGGAACATTAAAATAAAAATCACTATGAAATTAGCGAATTGCAGAATATTCATTCATACATTTGGGGTCCAAAGGTAGCTGCTCTGATGATTACAATGATGAGGATGATAAGTGTCAGCACCATTGACAGGAAGGACACCTGGTAACACACATGGATGTTTTACAGGCAGCTTTTAAATCACTAAAATGACACTGACAGCGGTTAAATATTCAGACTTACCTTCCCAAGTTTCTCTATGTTTCGATAAAGTGAGAGAGGCAGTGTGAATGCAAGGGTTGATAACAAGATCACAAAGTGACGCTCTGCAAGTATGTGATCTGGACCAACTGCAAACACAGCACATGACAACATAGACATAAATCATTTCAAGCATTTGAATATTGTACATTTAGCATATACACATGTTGTTGTTTTTTTGTTGTTGTGGCTTTTATCTGGGGTGAAATGAACTATGCAGCGTACCTCCTGGTATTCTCTGAAATACTTTGGTCAGTGTGTCACCAGTTGTGATGTTGTAGCTAATCATAGCTGAGTAAGGAAACAGAGATGACGCATCATTTTATTATTTATATTAATCTGCAATCTTATTTAGACTGAACTAAAGGAAAAGGGATACAACAGAAATAGAAAAAATAGAACAGAATGAATAAAATGATTTGTCCGGCCACACTGGAAATAACCCATTAAATGCAACAATATATACTATTATATAATGTAATTAACATCAGATTGAACTTGCATACTTTAAACAACTTACCAATGAAAGGATAAAGGAACTGCAGTCCAGATAAAATCAGAAATCCAGGGAAACCAAATGTACTTTGCACCAGTGATTGATAACTGTTTGTCCCTGACATGTTGCCTCCTTTAATGAGTAAGATTATTGAGTAGTCTGCCATGAAATGCAAACATAATGTTATTAGTGTTTTTCATCTGATAAATGCATGTCTACATTTTCATAATGATGCCTTCGAAATACCCACCTGTGATGAACCCGACAATTACCAAAAGCAGAAGGCCAAAGGGGAGGCCTGCCTGGTTCAATGCATATGGTAAACCTGGTCACAAATACATAAACATATAACTGCAGATAAAGAATAAGAAGATGTCACGAATCTCAAGGAAGCACACAGGTAACACATAATTAAGAAAAAACTACACTGCAATGCAAAAAGTGTTACAATTAATATTTTCAGTCTTGAAAACGCTCTGCTGATTCTTGTGTTGTTTTTGATTGTAATAATGACTCAGGCAATTTGTGAGGATGAAAGAGTTAAAGGGGAGAATGGGGGCAACAGGCGCTAGTCATATGATGCAGAGGGTTCACCACTGCAGGGCTTGAATGGTATGAAAGCGTCTCCTTGTTGCAGCAAAATTACCAAAAACGTATTATTTAACTGAATCATTTATGGATAGTTTGATAGGCTATAGTTACCAATTATTGGGTTTTGGTAGGCAATATAATGTTGACTATGAATTATAAAGAGAGTATTTACCTATTATTCCAGATCCTATAATGGAATTGATAAAATTAAAAGACGCTGATATCATTGAACTTCTTGGCTCTGTGGCAGCTTTTTGTAAAGGAATTAATGTGGTCCCTTCTTCACTGTTTAGCTGGAAAATAAGAACACAAAGCAGAAATAAAATGAACAAAAACTGCCAGTCTGTTTGTTCCTGTCCTACAACAATAGCATCACTTTAGGACCTACCTGCTGGGCCATTTTGAGCACCTGCTGGTCTGATCTGATTCCTCTTTGTCCGCGTCTCTTCAGTGTTTTCCTCTCACATATCTGCGGCGTGACTGAAGTTTGTAAGAAGTCTGTCAATTTTACTCAACCGAAGCATCGCCGCATCCCAACAGCGCCCCTGGCCGGTCACGGGTCTACACTCAGAGGTTACTGGGCCGAAGCCCACCGGAGCTCAACTCCACCCTCTTGGAGGCTCTCTATCGGAGCTCTCCGTTTCTTTCTGTATCGCAGCGTTGCCAGCTTACACTGTCTCACACTGACCAGACAGATGTATAAGCCCCTTGTCTTTTGAGTTTAATAAAAAGATGTCCCTGTGGCTATCACACAGCAGCAGAATCTGCGAGTGTCTCCAGATTGAGAGAGGGGCTGTGCGTAATTTACGCATGTGGTGAAATTATTATTTAATCAGAATCAGAAGCGGCTTTATTGCCAAGTAGGTTTTCACATAAGTGGGATTTATCTTTGTAAATTGGTGCATTACAGTAAACATAAAAATGTAAATAAAAATAAAAATAGAAGAGAATTATTTTCTTCTAAATTCTTTTATTTAACTCTTGTGTGGCCTTGTGGTCCTACGACTGTCTTATTAACCGAAATGCTTTTCTGCACAGAAACTTAAATGCAGTAATATTTGCAATACTGCAAGCATGGAATGTATCTAATCACTTAAATAGCCTAAATAAAAAATAAGGCAGATAGTAAGTCTAATAATGACAACACCGTCTACTGAGCCTATGAGTTACTGTAGTTGCCTCTGTGCAAAGATATTTCCACTTTTACACATGGACAAGAATTTTAGTGGCAGTATATTTGGATAAACGGCAGTACTATTGTCTTTTGGGACATCACAGTGCTTTATAGAGGTGAACTTCCCTCAAATGAATTTAAAGGGTAGCTCCACCCAATAAATAAATCAAATAAAAATAATCAAATAAAATCACTTCTCCCTAGTGATACAGTATCTGGCCACAGCTAGATTCAATTTGAGATATCTGTCTCTGAAATGTCACCAATACAATTAAGGTGAATTAAATTTAGTTTATGGTACAGCATTCGAAAAGTGACATTTAGAGTATTGGACATCAACAACCTCTCTTTCCAACAGTACCACTGTTACTCTGGGAAATCCACATGCACAGAACACAACACCTACAGTTGTCATTACTTTCTAAAGAGAAAAAAAACTCCCAAACTCATTGAGGGCTCCCCTGCTATCAAATACCACTTTGCCTTTCCCACCCTGGGGGGTTTGCAATAAATACTGATTACAAGAAATACTTTTTGAAACATATAGCCTATGATTATAGCCTATAATCGAATATGTTATGTTTACACTGCCTCAGACAGGTATTTTAATCAACAAACTTTTAAGGAATAAGTTGCACTTTGACTCTTGATGCCAAAATATGTAATGACATATGCATGGAAATTAGGAATTAAAGAATTTAAGGATTATATTATAAAGCTGACTGTTAAAAGGCGCCTTTGTTTAGTAACAGAAAGAATAAAGTAGGAAATGGCGATATATTGTACAGTAATATAAAATCCTCATGTTGAGAATTTAATCTGTTTAGGTCAGAAATTACTTCTACAGTCACAGGGCAGAGAAAACTGAGGCCGCCACAGTACAATCAAACATTTGATAGGAAATAGATATTATGATACTTTTGTAAGCCTATTTTCCACTCATTAACATATGAAAATAAGCCAAAGACACTGGTTAAGCATGACATGACAAAGTCAACGTGTGTTTATAGCACTTATAATGAATGTAGAACTACTAATACTAAATTTAAGGAAGAGAGGGAACAGCTTATACGAAGGATCAGGACGGCAGGAAGAGAGTGGAATACTGAGGACAACTGAAGAAGGAGTAAAGGATGCACAGAAATCTATAATAGAGTTTTTGAGGGTTATATCACAGGATTTAGCAAATCAGGGTAGGGTAGCAGTTAGTCAGGTGGGTGTTTTTTGTGTGTAGCTCAAATCAGATTTTATGACCATATGCTGTGTTTGTATTCATAAGTAATCATATATTTTATACATATTTGATGTGTCACCAAGTTACCATTCATTCGTGTATGCACCAGCATCCATGTATTTTCTGTTTTTTAATTATCTATTACTTTTTAAATACTTTTCAAAGACTGTTCTTATTATTTTAATGGCTTTTATGTTTTCAATGCATTTTTGCATTAGTATTGTGTATATTATATCTATATATAGTCGGTCCAGTCGCTTTGTTTTTCCACTCTGGCAACTCTTCACTATGCAATTCAAAGGCCTACATAATATACATTTCTCTGACATTGCTGTCTGTATCCAGCAGGTGGCGTCAGACATACAGTGAATGTCCTGGTTCACTGTCAGGACATCAACCTAACTTTACTAAGTTATTATTACTCACACCTATGCGCGGTGTTCAGTCTGTAGTTTGAAGTGCTGTCTAACTGACTCTAGGCAAATCAGGCAGTTGGTGTGGGCTGCTTGCCCGGACGTTTAAAAAACTAAAGGACAAACTCTGCCACTGACCCCTTCAACACACACACACACACACACACACACACACACACACACACACACATAGTATTAGTACACAATCTAGTTCATAGTTGTGGCTTTAGCTTTTAGTTTCTGATACAGTGCAAACATCTGAATTACCGTCAATTACGCACGATAATGTCCACCACATTATTATGTCAACAACAGCCATTCCGGCTCCCTGCCCTCACTTGGTACCCAGGAACATCCGGTAGTACCACAGCACAGCACTCTGACTCTGCCGCACGGAGGGGCGGATGAAACACACACACTCTCTCTCTCTCTCTCTCTCTCTCTCTCTCTCTCTCTCTCTCTCTCAGGGCTCTCCTGTCCAAACCGTGGAAAATACCAGTTCTGCTCTCCGGAGAAGCGTCAAACAACCTAAACTGACGGACAGGTTTTTATTTTATACATTTTATACACACTGAAGCTCTTCCACGCCGGCTTTATTGTTAACCTGTCGAGGATGGGAAACTAATGGTGAGTTAACAATCTGTTAAAGTTGCATCTGAGTGCTGTTTCTCGAAAGAGAATTCTGAAATTGATTTAAACTTTTGGATTGACTTATGGAAGTCTGCAGCAGAGACAAAAACTTGTAGTTTTCTATCTATCTATCTATCTATCTATCTATCTATCTATCTATCTATCTATCTGTTTAGAATGGATTGGATTTCCTTATATATTAAATATTTAATATCCTCATAATTACAGAACTGTGCTAAAGGGATTTGATATCTATCTAGCCTTTGTATTTCCTGTACTGTCATATTAGTAGATGTCACATTTTATGAGTTAGAAGGCCTGTATGGCATCTCTTGTAGTTCATAGGGATAAAGACTAGAGTGCAAATCATGTACTACAATATATTACAGAAGTTAATGGGCATGGCAGCAATTATTAGCCCACACTCCATCTTAGAGGACTTCCTGCTTGCATGACTGTCAACATCATTATTAGATTGCTGTCAATTAGAGATTAGACTGTCCTGTTTGCATTCTGCCGAGGCTGTACACACACAGTGTAGCCTGGCAGCTTGTACGTAAAAAAAACCCAACATGAATTTATTCCAGAGAGAACTATGTTAACAGCTCCTCATCACCAGTTATTTTGCCAACGCCCTGAATGAGCAAGATCTAATCCGGATCCTGTAGTCTGTAAGAGGCAGTAACAAGCATTAGTTGTGAGCACTTAAAAGATGTGAGTGTGTTGGTCCCTGAGGAGCCCGCAGATACTGAACTGTGATCACCGTGTATACATGTATGTTTTAAGTTGAACATGTTATTCCAGTCCTACTCATTACTGAAATGCTAATCACTAACTCTTCTGGAGTCACTCTAGTCGTTATCTTTGCTACAGCTCTGCAGCTCAGTTGTAGGCCTGTTTTTGTGATCAGCATAACAGGCGAGGATTGACCAAAACTGAGCTGTGGTGTGTTGTGATCTTGCAGAACACCCATATTCCTCACCTGTAATGTAAATCTCACAGAAGTTGTATCAACTTTTTATCAATACATTAGAATAAATAAGTAAAGAATAGGTTCACATTTTCTATGCCTATCTTGCAATAATAATAAATGTACATTGAAAGAGTTAGTTGTTGCTTGTGTCCGTACTGTCCCTGTAGAGATTCCTAGCTTATGCGATTCCAGTGTGAACAAAATCCTTATTCTTTTTGGTACAAACATATATATTATATATATTGTATTGTGTTACTGTCCCTCTGGCGCAGCTCAGCAACGAAAGGGTAATTTTAGTATAGAGGGAAGAAATGATTACATCACCAATACACATATGGGCATGTCCGTATTGTACTGAGGCAGTCTTGTGAACCTATCCGATTGTTGCTGTGTAAGAAGCATTGTGGATGGTAGCTGTGACTGAGCCACTTGTAAATGCAGAGATACTGATTCCTCTGGACTACATGTTATTTATACCTTTGTTAAGGTCTACTTGTCTTTATTTCCTCATGCTTGTAGCTCACAGGCTGGTTTGAAGTCTGCTTTCAATAATCAATTGAAGGCAGAGTCAGGACCCTGATGAGAACATAGGTCACTTTTCTGTGCAGAGCAAACACACAGAGCTCATGTCTTGCTTTAGTTTATTCATCAGAATGGTAATCAGGTTTTGGGAAATGTTTTTATTTAACTGTATAACCAAGATTAACACTTGGTTTAATGTCAGTGGAATTGGGGTTTTTATAAGTCAAAATATCTATGCAGGCACCTACAGTACGTAGCTTGACCTTTCAAGGGTTCCATTGGTCTTGTTTGGAGGCCAGGAAGCCACAATCTGTCACAAACCATCATCTAAGTAATAAGAAGCATTTTGAGGTCAATGAAATCAAGTTTTTAAATGACTAATGTATACATTAAATATTCAAGCTCAGCTTCTGTTTGACACCGCCTGAGTGTTTGACATACTTGCAGGTGAATCGGGAGGCCCGGGTCAGCCATCGCTTAAAGCTCATCAGCAGTACACAGTTAAATGTATGGTTAATAGCAAATACCAAAACCAATGTGTTGACATTCTGTTCCAGCGAGAGTCGAAGGAAAATAAATGTATCCATTTTAGGTTAGTCAGCACAAGGTCATGATGCCGACAGGTTGCAGATAAAATGAAGTGGGCCTATTTGAAGCTTCAAAGTGGCAGCTCATATCTCAAGTTATGTGTAATGAGTTGGGAACAGATTGACAGTATGATGCATACCTCGTCAGAAGTTAGTCATTGCAGGTTGACCTTGTTGAGTGAACATCAGGTTAATACTGTTTTATGTTTGCGGATAGTTATCAGACAGTTAACAAGTTTGTCTTGCTGTTGTTCTAGTGTTGTTTCCTTTTACCCAGAGTATATTGTATTTCTTTTAATAGTTATATGCTATAGTTATCGTCATATAGAGGGGACTGTTTTCTTTTTTAATATCATTGCACATCAGTGGGACTTTATCAATGTACTTGGTGTGTAAGGAAGCTATGGGCTCAGTACTTTATGTACCATACATTATGTATCACTGTAACAAAGGGCTTAAAGTGTGCATATTTGAAACCACTACACGAGTTACCGAAACCATACAAAACCAGTAAAGTAAAGTAGTATCCTATCATTTGCACTCAGCTATAAATTACAGCAGTTTCATGAAAAACGTTAACTTGCTAAATGTGACTGGAAATTATATAGAACTCTGGTCCTAAATGGTTTTGTGAAATGCAGTGTTGAAAAGCACATTTCTCATTAATGTAGTGTGTTTGTGTTGGATTTGTTGAATTTTGGCCTTTTCTCTGATAGATTCAGACAAAGTGTTGTAAGTGTTAGGCCAGCCTCTCTGGTCTTAAACCAGGTCGATAAGCACTTGTCCATAATGACAGTGACTACAAAAAACATTAGTTGAATTCTAATGGACATGAATAATAGGCTACAGCAAGTGTAAATATTTGTAACCAACACTTTGTAGTTACAAAGGCTCACGCGATACCTTTGAGTAGTTCAATAATGAAGTAATTGGTCATCTTTGTGTTCAGAGATGACAGCACCACTGATGTATGTGCGAAAATTATCATCAGGAGCAATGTTAATGCTGTTGATCTGTAGCATGGTACCCAAGATTGTTATATTGTACAACACCAAAATCCCATTTAAATCAGTAATTACTCTACCTGCTGAGTTTCATCTTCTGTGTCTGGGCAGGTTTCTCTCAGTGTAAACCTCACATCTAAGTAGCTGTAAAAACCATGTGCACATTCACATATTATAAATTCAAAGCTTTTTTTTTTTTTTTTTGTAGTTGGACCTTCCTCTGTTGTTGCAATTACATCACACATGTACAACCCAGCGCTGTGGGCAGTTGATTGACCAGTGTATTTGTGATTGATTTCTTGCATCACTGCATGTGGAAGTATTCTATTACACTATAACATTCAGATCAAGCAAAAAAACTCACAGGGCACCCAGAGAGATGCAGTGCAGTCTCTAATGCATTCATATTTAATACTGCATAGGTCTGCCTAACACATCATACCAGTCAGGCCTATTAGCAGGATGAATCTTTTTCCTCCCACCGCTCTGTCTCAGGCTCTGAGGGAAAAGTGGACTCTTCATTTTGAGGGATGGAGGAGAGGAGCAAGAGCCTCACCTGGAATAGATCATTGTCATGTCAAATCTTAATTTTATCTACAGAAGGGCGGATAATTAGATCTAATTTTACCATAGCTGGCAGGAATTTATGTGTACGACAGCCATCTCTAGGCTCATTATAGCCTGCCACTTCCTGAAATCAGGATCTTTCAGCAAAGGACAGGGCCACACCCACCTTCTTCTCTTCCAGTTAAAGCAGTTTTAATCTGCTGCTAGAAATACTTTTAATTAATTGTTTCCAATAAAATTATATTTCACAGTAGATCATGGAAGATTTAACTCAGCTTTTTAAAAAGTTGTTAACCTCTAATCAGAGCCCCTTATCTGTTCTGACCCTTCAGGCCTTTCCCATGTTGGAGGCTAGCTGTTCACTCTGAAGGTGCAGGATGAAAAGATGGCACAGCTGCTTGTACCACCAGGTCCAGACAGCTTCCGCCCCTTTACTTGTGAGTCCCTCACAGCCATTGAGATACGGATCTCTGAGGAGAACGCCAAGAAACCCAAGGGAGAGAAGAGAAAACGCAACGATGAGAATCAGCTCAAGCCCAGCCGTGACCTGGAGGCAGGCAAATCACTCCCTCTTCTGTATGGGGACGTTCCTAAAGGCTTGGTGTCGACACCGCTGGAGGACCTGGATCCCTACTACTGTAATCAGAAAGTAGGTTTGTTTGATTTCAAAATTGAGCATGATTAGACTAAAACACAAAAGAATCAGGATTCAAATTTAAATTTAGTCAGATCATGATAAAGAGTCTACAGTAAATGCAGTCTGCCCAGTTTGATATCACATGGCTTTGAATCTTAGACAGGAAGACAAGACCAATGAGAAAATGTATGTGGGTTTGTGATTAGTGATATGTACAGCAAAATGTGTGCTGTAAATAATATGGCTAAAGCCTGCTTTGATTGGTGGTTGAAAGTAACGCCATGAAACTATAATTTGTTATTATTTTTTAACTATAATTAGATATTGCAAGTCAGCCAAATAGAAATAAGTATTTTAATCATACGTGTCTTTTTCTGTCAGACTTTCATAGTATTAAACAGAGGAAATTTCATCTACCGCTTCAACGCCACTCCTGCCTTGTACATCCTGAGCCCCTTCAACCTTCTCAGAAGAATATCAATTATGATTTTGGTACACTCATATCCTTTCATTAAGATATTAATCTGATATGCATGAATCATTTTCATATTGAGCCCACACTAAATCTGTGGTTACTCTCCTATATCCACAAAGGCTTTATTGTCTACATTGCTGCCTTGAGTGAGATATAATGAATAAAAAGAAAAGTGTAAATTAAAATAATTGGCTTCCTTGACAACTGCCTGTACGTTGTTCAGTGTGGTGATCATGTGCACTATCATCACCAACTGTGCATTTATGACAATGCACCGACCACCTGATTGGGCAAAGAATGTAGAGTAAGTATCCCTTTTATAACACTCTGAATCACGTACCCACTCACATACTTGCAGATTAGTTTAACAACAACATTTTGTTCCCAACAGGTACACATTTACGGCCATCTATACGTTTGAATCCCTTGTTAAAATTTTAGCGCGTGGGTTCTGCATAGGAAAGTTCACATTTCTAAGAGACCCCTGGAACTGGCTGGATTTCAGTGTCATTGTCATGGCGTAAGTACTTGCCACATGCTCAGTCAATTAGAATGTTGTTTTACCTCTTTTCCCAAAGCTTCCTCAGTATAGAGCCTGTGTTGAAGGTGCATAAGCAAGTTGTCTGTTGTGCTGGTTTCACTGATGGTTGTAACAAATGATTTATAATATGATTGCTTATATTACTAGTTATCATTTAGTTCTTGTGTTATTTTATATTTTTCCTACAGTCAACAAATTACAAACCAATAAACACATCAGAACATCTATCCAGCTTCTCTCTCAGCCTCAAGCCCACTGAAGAAGTACTGAAGAATCTTTTAAAATGGCTCACAAATATCTAAAATATAGTTTAATGTATAGACATTTAAAAATCTTCTTCTACAACAGCTGGACACTGCTGGTAAACAGGAGTGAATACTGCATCTGTTAGGCCCGTGTGGATGAACACAGATTTGGAGCACTAGTGAGTATTTAGCATAGAAATGAAGGAACATGTCAGCAAAGCTAAGCTATATCAGGCTTTGACTACAAACACTTGTTAGTGGGAAAAAATAAGTGTTGGTTTTGTCGGAATTTGTTGGCAATAAGAACAATATAGAATATCACTAGACTTATCCTTTACATCTTTGTCACATGGGACGTGGTGCATATCTTGTTGCTCATCATGATCTCATCACTTTACTTGAACCAATGTGCATGCTGCTTTATACATTTAAGATTGTTGGCTTCAATTTTGTGTTACATGTATATTTGTCTCAGTCAATATTTCATAGTAATTCTAAGTTTCCCTGCAGGTATGTAACAGAGTTTGTAAACCTAGGCAATTTTTCAGCTCTTCGCACATTCCGAGTGCTGAGAGCTTTTAAAGCTATTTCAGTTATCCCAGGTAAGCAATAGGAGCAAGTGCATGTCAGTTAGCCTCTTGCATGGTTTTCTCCTGCTGCACCTCAACCTCCTCTCCTTCCAATTGCTTGCCCTCCTGCAACATGTGTGTGGGATGCTTCTAGACCAAACCTGTCAACCTCCTTGTCACAGATGTGTCACAGAGTTGTTTCAGCAATCTGAATGTCTCTAATTCTAAAAGCAATCTTGGACATCCCAGGTGAGCCCTAGTCCTCAGGGTGTTTACTAGATCAGTTTCAGGTTCCAGCTGTTTGACTCTCATGCCGAGTGCAGCCACTGAGGAATCACAGATGTAGTTTGAATAGTGACTCTGTGAGATCTGTGCTATTTCTTTTGAAATCTGCTTCTTGTGTTTCTTGCACTGTTGCTTCTGAGTGGACTATTCCTTGACTGCCGCCTGCTCCTCTTTGCTTGTGGTTAATGAAGGCATATTATTGTGTGTCTGTGGTGAGGGGGTGTCCCATTATTGATGCATGTACAACATCAATGACATGCATGATGCTAATTTTCTGTGTTACTTTCTCCTGTCTGACTACCACTTTGAGTTCTGACTGATAAACAGCCCCCATGTTGTTGAAGTAATTGAGAGCAAAATGTTATCAAATGGGCCCATTAGACTTATATTATTCTAGTGTTTCTTGTGTTTGCTATTAAAGCATCACATAACTGTGAAAACTCTCATAGCTTAAGTGGATTTTTTTTATATATTTCGTATTGTTAGACTGTTATTAATGTTGACAATGTTGTTTATTTGACAACTTAAAGTAACGAGTGATACTGTATCTGACAGGCCTGAAAACCATTGTTGGGGCATTGTTCCAGTCAGTGAAGAAGCTTGCCGATGTGATGATCCTCACCGTCTTTTGTTTGAGCGTCTTCGCCCTCATAGGATTACAACTGTTTATGGGCCATCTAAGGCAAAAGTGTGTGTGGGTGCCAAAAAATGAGACCTCCATGAATGGGACAGATAACAAGTCAAACCTTTCCTTGTGGGATGAGGGGTACTTGCTCAACGAAGGTGAGTATTTATTATTTTATTATTTACTATATTTATTTTATTCCCCTGTTCTACTCTGAGTTGCAGAGTAGTCACAACTTGATCCGGCACAAAAAAGTAATCAAGCAAGTAATCATAAAATATCTAGTTGGATGTTTTGTGGTTAGGACTTATGATATTTTTAACACTACTTTATGTCAATATACATTGAGTTACCATTTTATTTTATTCTCTTGTTTGTGAATACATTGTAATTTATGAGGCTATATTTAATGACAGTGTTGGACGACATTATATTGAGATACGTATTATTTTGTCCTGTTCATTGGTGGGGACAAAACTTTGGAAACACTAGAAACACCATTCAATATAATGCCACCTACCCCAACAACACTACTAACTACAGCCTCAAAATGGCCATAGTTGAATTGAAACCTACAGCACTCTTGTTGTGTATTGAATTAGACTATAGAGGTGTGTATTATATTATAATTCATAGTCCATGTTGGGTTTGTTTGCAACCACTGCCGACAACTACAGTGCTCGCCACACATACCAAAACTGTGATTTTCTTTCTTTCCCCATCAGCCAACTATTATTACCTTCCAGACAAACGAGACCCATTGCTTTGTGGAAACGGCAGTGCAGCTGGGTAAGCTTATTCCTCAACTACCAGAAGCTGTACAGTGTGAATTACTGGTTGTTCTGAGCTTCACAAACATTTTGTTGTTTATTGCAGGCAGTGTCCAGAGGGGTTCATATGCCTCAGAGTGGGAAGAAACCCAGACTACAATTACACCAGCTTTGACTCTTTTGGTTGGGCCTTCCTCTCTCTGTTTAGACTGATGACGCAGGATTACTGGGAAAAGCTTTACCAGCAGGTAGCTAATGAAATTAGAAAAACTGGAAGAACCAAGCATACAATACACGCACATATATGCAATTCTAAACCCTTATTTGATCAAGCTGCAAGAATATCAGTGACCTGAGGTGTGTTACTATATTATCTAGAAGTAACAGCATTGGTTAGGATGATCTCTGATATGCAGATGCTCAGTTTTCAAAAGGCTATTGCATGATATTAAAAGGATTCAGGAAAAGGCTATCATCTGCATAAAAATTGTGTCTATATGCAATGTAACCTAGTGGCAGCTTACAAAGAAAAGAGAGTTAATGGTAGTCATGTGGTGAGCTTTGAACTTAAACCCAGTAACTGCAGAAAATGATTCGATTCTAATCAAGAGATCTCAACCCATACACGACTGTTCGTGGACAAAAATAATTTTTTTACTGTAATGTATTTTGTCAGTCAGTTCAAGTCAATTTAAAGATCCCTCACGTCAGTTCTTAAATTGTTTGCAATCTTTAATAGTGTGATACACTGAACTCTGTGTTTTTTATTAACCTAATTATGTATCCTTATGCGCCATTGTGGGTCTTCCTTGGCCTCTTTGGTTGCTTGGTGACTCCGTGAGACAAACGTGTTTGGTGGCAGGTTGACTAAATGTTTGATGTGTGGTGGAGGTTGCTGTATTTGTACTACTTTCTGCTCCTCTGAATACATACAAACAGTGCTCGCTGTGTTGAGGAGGGGCTCTGTCAAAGACAAGGCATTCTCACATTACAATATTGGTATTAAAAGTGTTCAAACAAACCTCTAAATGAAGTGCAGGTGCATCTTGGTCAGTAGGAACAAATATGAGTCCCACTATGACTCAGGCAAACAAAAGTTGAATGGCCCTAAAGGCAAATAGATGTCGACTGAATAGGCCTCTGGACATTGTAAAGCAAACAGTAATACAACAAAGCTCCCATGAGCACATATTTTTAGCAATGTGTGTAATTGGGTAGCATTACCCCTCCACAAGCTCTTTTATGTTATGGAACAGTGGCATTTTTCATCATATCCATAGTAGAAATTGAAAATCCCTGATTAAATAAAAAAAAAAACACTGTTGGTATATTTCTCATAGAAGAAAACAACAGTGGCTGTAACCACAGCAACAGCAGGGAAATACTCAACTGTATGCATTCAAACCTCCGTCCTGATTCAATAATCTCTCTCGTTAGTTACTTTCACAGTCAACATGTAGTGGATAACTGAATTAATAAAATGACCTGAGGTGACACTAGCATGGCGCATTAATCTGCACAGTTTCTCACTCCTGAATATGTGAATCAGTTTAACATGTTTCTCATGGTTGGAACATCATAATGATAGTCATATACTTAACTCAAAGCATATAGCACACCAAATGATTTACAGAAAGACAAGAAAATGAATACAGAAATTAGGAAATAAAAGATAAAAAGGTGGAATAAAATAAAAGATTAATGAATATATTGAATATTAAATGTAACTATAAGTATAAAACACGTCTACCAGTACATTGTTTTTCTTTTTCCTTCCAGACGCTGCGGGTTTCAGGAAAGCCGTACATGATCTTTTTTGTGTTGGTGATATTCCTTGGTTCCTTCTACCTGATCAACCTGATCTTGGCTGTAGTAGCTATGGCCTACGAGGAGCAGAGCCAGGCCACCATAAAGGAGGCACAGGAGAAGGAGGAGGAGTTTCAGGCCATGCTTGAGCAGCTGAAACGGCAGCAAGAAGACGCTCAGGTAAAGGACAATCCACAAACTCAAAATCACACCATTGCTCCATCACACTGATTCTGAACAAGGTCTGATTCCAACTTAATAACATAAAGTTGGGATACGTTTTATTTTTAGTACCAGAAATTGAATTGTTTTTCACAAGAGAAGGCTGAAGGGGTCAAGGTTGCTTTCTAGTAAGTGGTAGTTTACTCACAGCTACCGGCGAGATAAGTGTTTTGCATGCACACTGGTATCATGGTTATTTTCCATATGATGTTTATATGGAACAAACAGCAAACCAGTTACACAGTTTATGGCTGGGTATACATAATATATATGATTTTATAAGTGGTGGACGTAGGAAGTATTCAGATCCTTCATTCAGAACTTGGCACAAATGTCCACTTGGACTCGAGGATGAACTAATTAGAATTTGGCAGTCAAAGGTCAAGGTCACTGTGACTGATGACCATACTAACTGCCTCACACATCATCGAGCACACCTAGCTAATGGTGGATCTTGTGAGTAAAGGAGTTTCACCTACAGCTGCTAGAGAGCCATTACATCTATAAATGCCAGGAGAAAACAAAAGCGCCACAATTTGTATAGTTATACTTTCCAAGAATTCATCTTGACATAGTAAGTACAAGTACATTTGTACCTGTTTAGCCAATACATCTATGATAAGTCTTCATTAATCAGCTTAAAAATGTGTATTCACCTATAATTATTATACCTATAATTCCTTCAAAGTCTTCACCAAATTTATTCTAGTTTTGTTTTATAATACTGTTTCCTAAAATGTTCCCACTGCATTCCCACTTTTTTGGCAGGTTATTCCAGAAGTCCAAACGTTATTTTAAGCTTGAAACTGAATCAAAGCATTTGATGGCCTCTCTGACAGTGTCAGCAGAGACTGAACAACATAAGAATGACAAAGATTTACTCCACCTATTTCTCTCTTTCTCTGTCCTCATCTAGGCAGCAGCAGCTGCAGCTGGTGTTGAGTGCGGGGAGGTCAGTGATAAAGCCGGAGGCACTGAGAGCTCCTCTGACGCCTCCAAGCTCAGCTCCAAAAGTGCCAAAGAGAGACGCAACAGGCGAAGAAAAAGAAAGGAGGAGGAGGGCAAAGGGGCTGATGACAAGTTTCCTAGATCTGAATCACAGGACAGTTTGAAGAAAGCTCGCTGCCGCTTCTCTGTGGGTGCAAACCTGCTCAACTATGACATGAAATGTTCATCCGCACATCAGGTTCAGTTCGCTGCACAGTGATATTCTGCTACCTATGTATCTTGAACTGGTGCCCTGTTTTTAGCTTATTAAGTCCCTTCTCAATTCTAAAGCCCATTATATTATTGTGAATCAGTCAAGAATGATAAAATTATCCTTATCTTTTTCCTCTTTTAACAATTTACAAACCTACTAAATGACATATTGTCCCATATAACTTATACCCTTTTTATCAAAATAATGTAAGAGCGGGGACTCATGTACCAAGCCTGTTCCAGTGGCCACAATATGTAACAAAATCTCAGTTTTTGAGATTATGTCAGTAGAAATATAATGATAAGTGTTCTCTTAATTGAATGGTAGATATGTATTTTGAAGCTCTGTGGAACTTTTGTCAATAAGAAGACTCTCAAGGTTATATAACATACATTTGAATGGCAGATAGTTATAGGCAAGTTTCAAGTTTTTTTATTTTCGAATATTCAGTATGTGTCACGTTATTCAACATATATACTTTCCTGATCCTTCATGAGTCGCTAACAAATTTTGTGATTGCGTTGTCTGCTATCACCATGACTTTTTTTTTTCCGTCATTGGTGTCATCGCCATCTATCATCCTCTTCTTCTTTTTCTTCATCAACTTACTCACATATTATATAATATGTCATTGTCAGTCATCATCAAGATGCATTTTTTGTTTTACAATTTTCCTTCTTACAATGATTGTTATCATTATGAACATCCTCATCATCATCATCATCATCATCATCATCATCATCATCATCATCATCATCACCACCACCACCATCATCTTATCATCTTTATCTTTTCCTTCTTCATCATAACCATCATCATCCTTACCATTCTAAGTGTCACCAACATGTATTTTAAATTTTGCATTTTCCTTACAATGTTCTCAAATATCATCATTATGACCATCATCATCATCATCATCATCATCTTTATCTTTTTCATCTTTATCATCACCTTGATCATCATCCTTACCCTTCTCATCACCAATTTATTTTTATTTTGTATTTTCCTTACCAACATCATCATTATGACCCTCATCATCATCATCATCATCACCTCACGACAGAAATCACTTTTATTTTGATCGTTGTCATCACCGTTCTTTCTTCTTTATGATCAGCACGTATCGTATATGCACTGAAGAGTATCTTTCTCTCCTAGTCCTTCCTGAGTTTTCGTGGACCCCTGTTCTCACCCAGACGGAACAGCAGGACCAGCGTTTTCAGTTTCCGAAGCCAAGCACAGGACTTTGGCTCCGAAAATGAGTTTGCTGATGATGAGAACAGCATTTTTGGGGACAACCTGAGTCGGAGGGGCTCTTTGTTTCTCCCCAGGAGTTGTGATCGCCGCCGCAGCACTATGAGCCAAAGCAGCTTCTTGTCACATTGCCTACTTCCACCCAATGGGATCAAGCACAGCTCTGTAGACTGCAATGGGGTTGTGTCTCTGGTGGGTGGGAGTTCACTCCCATCGTCACCTGTGGGGCTTTTTCTGCCTAAATTGATGGTAGATATGGCCTTCACTGGAGATAATGTAAGAAAGGCTTTTGACCTCCAATGGCCCTATTTATTCACCCATAGCCTCTTAGCAAATATGGCTTTATCTTTTTTGATTGTCTTTTTTCTGTTTGTCCTTTTCCTGTCTGTCTCACACTATGTAACTTCAATTAATGGTTAAATGCAACACCAGTCAAATTTCTGTTCTTTTTCCAAAGTATGTTATTGGTTTTAGAATTATTCATGTTAAAGGTCACTGGATTCTATTAATTTCAGTAAGCAATGCTGTAAACATTTATTTAATTGTGTCAAAGTGACATAAATTCTTGAAGCTAAATGCTCACATCATGCTAACATGCTTACACTGGCAATGCTAGTTTAGCATTGCTTACTTGCCTATTACCGCAAAACACAAAGTATAGCTGAGGCTTAAAGGCATGTCATTAGGTTATCTATAACAAAGTTCATTACCATTCAACCAATACTTGTCAAGATATTTCACTAAAAGCCAAAACATCATGCTGCTAACATGGCTAAAAATATAAGCAATGAGAAAAAAACTCATCGAGTACACATGCCCATCCCTACTAGGTGGATGCTAATTAATTCAATGGCCACTATGATTGGCAAACATAACAGCTTCTGACCATCTGACCAGGGTGCCATTATTGTACCAAGTCATCGCGCTCATTTCCATATTATATAGAAATATGGGACTTGCTAATGCACTAATCCCTTTGCTTGTTATTCTCTTTTATGTATGCAGTTTTGCACTGTGATGCAAAGTACTGACGCTTTTATTAATTTTTTTTAGCTACTGTGTCTCCATGGTTACATAGCACAGTTGCATCTGTAACAATGCTTCCTATCTCCAGGCTGACACCACTGACACAGAGTACAAACAGGCCGGTGGAGGAACACACCAGGTGTGTATGGACTATCTCGATGGCCCAGAGACCAGACAGAGAGCTCATAGTATAGCTAGTGTCATAACCAGCACAATGGAGGGTAGGTATTGTACACTATGGCACAAGTATCCTCTCTTGATCATATCTTCAGTATTGTAATGATAAATGGTCCTTTCAGATAAAAATATATTTATTTTTGTTTTCCCATACTTCTGCATCAGAGCTTGAGGAGTCGAGGCAGAAGTGTCCTACTTGCTGGTACAATTTTGCCCACACCTTCCTCATCTGGGAATGTAGTCCAGCATGGCTGAAGATCAAGAAAGTGGTTCACCTAATTGTGATGGATCCATTTGCAGACTTAACCATCACCATCTGCATTGTATTCAACACATTGTTTATGGCCATGGAACATCACCCAATGACCGACACTTTCTCCAAAGTGCTCTCTGCAGGCAATGTGGTGAGTGGACTGTAGAGTAGTGAATTTCTTTCTTTTTTTCTTTGCAAAATAGATGTCATGTTTATAAATGGTCATTATATCTTTTTTTATATTTATATATAAAGGTCTTCACCTGCATCTTCACGGCTGAAATGGTCCTCAAGATCATTGCTTTGGACCCATACTATTACTTTCAGAAGGGATGGAATATTTTTGATGGAATCATTGTCAGTTTAAGCTTGATAGAGCTTTGTATGTCAACAGGGGGTGGCATGACTGTTCTGAGATCATTCAGATTGGTAAGTCTAAACAGATATGTGTCATAGTCAATATGTTCATATGCATTTGGAGTACAGAATCATGTGATATGGCTAATTTGTCTTTTCTTTTTACAGCTTAGAGTATTCAAGTTGGCTAAATCGTGGCCCACTCTTAACACACTGATCAAAATAATTGGTAACTCAGTGGGGGCTTTGGGCAACTTGACGCTGGTGCTGGCCATCATCGTGTTCATCTTTGCTGTGGTGGGCATGCAACTGTTTGGAAAAAGCTACAAGGACTGTGTGTGTAAAATCTCTACCGACTGCACTCTACCCCGTTGGCACATGAATGACTTCGTCCATTCATTCCTCATTGTGTTCCGAGTGCTTTGTGGAGAATGGATAGAGACCATGTGGGACTGTATGGAGGTGGCTGGGATGTCCATGTGCATCATTGTCTACATGATGGTCATGGTTATTGGAAACCTTGTGGTACATTATCATCTCTTATGGTCAATTCATGAGTCCAACTTGTCTTACTATCTGATTTAGTTTTATAGCTGTTGTTATTATAAAGTACAATAGTTAAAAGATAACGCACTCTTTCATATAGTCATGTCATTTTCTGGTAGGTGCTGAACCTGTTCCTGGCCCTGCTGCTGAGTTCATTCAGTGCTGACAACCTGGCAGCAACGGAAGATGACGACACAAACAATTTGCAGATTGCCATTGGACGGATTCACAGAGGCATTGCCTTTGCCAAGTCCATGCTTAGAAGCAGCTGCAACAGTGCCTGTCTCAGGGATAAGAAGAAAGGGAAGGGTGAGGACAAATCTTTGGAGGAGCTCCACAAACCTTTAGGGCCCAATGGTGTCCCCAACCACACCATCAAAGACTTTTCAAAGAATGGGGATGTGACCGGAGTGGACAAAAATGGAGACAAGTACATAGTCAACAGTAGAAGTGATGATTCTATAATGTCTTTCATCAACAATCCTAGTCTGACTGTCACTGTTCCTATTGCTGTGGGAGAGTCTGACTTTGAAAATCTCAACACAGAGGACTTCAGCAGTGCCTCGTCTGATGTGGTAAGGAAGCTCCAGTTACTTGGTAGAGATGAGTTTACGTCTGATCGACGTCAAAGGATTTCAATGTTGGCTGTGGTTCTTGACGAGTGGTATGGTCTGTCCAGGCACTTACGTAAAAGCACTTTACCCACAGACCATGGCAACGAGGTATGAGCATGTGACGTGATGTTTTCCCTGAAGAGCCCATATAGCATGACCCTTTAACGAGGAGAGGCCATATAGACAGGAAAATACTATTGTGTAGATTACATTATGTGCCATTTAAGTCTGAGTGCTTGGTAGCGAAATGCTTTCAGGGGGTCTGTTTGTTTCTGGGGGAGAAAAGCTCACAGTGCAAAAGGAAGAAAAGAAACCCTAACTGTCTACTATATGATATATTATTGTTGCTAATTTACTTGTTTATACTTTGAAAAAAAGAAAATATAATAAGAAAATATCAAATTTGAATCGTTTTGCCTACAGGCAATATTTGATGTGAAAATGTACAAGCAAAATCATTGTTACTGCTTGCTTGCTGCTGCTTTACAGATGCTCTCAGAGTTGTAGGAGACTTGTAAGAACACACTACTATACATTACACTCAACATGGAGATTGCCTACTTCATTTACAATAACCATCCAATAACTGTTTTAGCAGTCACTCATCCTTTTTTGGCCTTACTTCATTCACCGTTCAGTCCTGAATTTGTGTTTTGGTTGATGCTGGAATATTTTTATTGATTCAAACATCAGTGAAAACTCTTTCATTGCAAAATTGTTAATGCAAAATCTTTTTATTTTTCTTGATTCTTTGATTAGTTGAGTTTACTAAATTATATTTAATTTAAATTATTTTTTGTTTCAGCTTGTTTTGTTTCATTTTCTGGGTTTCTGACAAAATTGAGAATGGATTTTCAATTATAATGGGATCATAATCTTAGTCATCAGTTATTATAAAATATCATTCATTGTGGGATGATGACAATACATTGTAGTGATTTTCCGATTTCAGAACGCAGACCTTTCTACTCACTTTAGATTTATTAAAAATGTCACTTATTTACACAATATTTCAAAAGAAATTGAACATTTAATGTCACAAGGTTTTCTGAAACAGAAATTGAAATAGAAATGGATGGACTGAAGTACAAACCATCAAAACACTGACTTTAGTGCTCACAGTATATAGCAGTAACATGCTTACATCATTCCCTGCACTGCATTAGCTGGTCCCAGGACAGCCAAGTGCTCCTGCATTCTCCAGGAAGGCATTCAAACTGTTCTCATCTACCAGCTATTAGGAGACACACCCAGTAAAAAGCCATACAACAACTGAGTCCAGTAGAGACCATGTGGCTACTTCACAACACCTACAGTCTAACTTTTAGATATTTAATTTGAGATATTTCTGCCTTATTTAGTGTTATATAGTGTTTAGAAACTGTATAACTTAAATATAACAATAAAATATAAGATCTGGATATCGTCTCCCACATTAAGTGGATATTATGAAGAGGTGAACAGTAGCATCTGTATTGTAGACTCCTTTTTGTCTTCTCTTTTAAAGGCTTCTGCTGTCAAGCTAATGAGAGTGCCCTAATGTTTGTGTGTTTTTAATTATTTGGACTGCAGAAAGAGAACATGCAGATGATTTTCATGTCTCCCTTTAAATATAAGATTTGTTCAATCTTGTTACAGCAAATACTGTATTCACGCATGTTCTTTATTTTAGCCATCATACATTTGATTCAAACTTGAACTGAATGCATGTCAGTGATGCTTGTGAAGTCCTTCTTACCAACAGCCTTAAACAAGACACACGGTAGACGTCAGTGGTAGTTAAAACATATCATATCACACATGTCTTGTGCAAGTCTCTTGGTAATTTATTACTTTTTGTACTTTTTGACTCAATTCAATTACTTCATTTTGAAGAGATATGGAGTGCATGACGTGTGTGGCTAGAGAGGTGCTCTGCATGTCATTTATTTTTGCCATGGCTCTGTTATATTTGCTTATCTAACAATGATTTTACTCATCTTCAATTGCAGATTATAGAGGACGATGGCCAGTTCAGCTCCTCTGAGGGCAGCACAGTGGACGGTCTTCCAGGTGGGGAGGGAGAAGGGTCAGTAGACATTGAACTGGAAGAATCTATGGAACCTGACGCCTGCTTTCCTGATGGTGAATACTACTATAACCGATTAACCTACTACAGCCTTGGTGTGACTCTGACACTGCATATTACACTGGTAAATCATCATCGCCCCTTTTGTCTCTGCTCAGTTTGTGTGCAAAAATTCGAGTGCTGTCAAGTAAATGTGGATGTGGGCCGGTGGAAAATGTGGTGGACACTCAGAAAGACCTGTTACCGGATAGTGGAGCACAACTGGTTTGAGAGCTTCATCATCTTCATTATCTTGCTTAGCAGTGGGGCATTGGTAAGTCTCTGTGGCAAGAAAAATTTAGATAAAATTGTTGTTTTTTTTAAACACCTGATTTTGCTGTGCTCATGTATTTACATATTATGTGTGGCATATCTTGTCCAGGCAGTAGATTCTCAAACTGTTTAATTAAAATACCATTTCCTATGGTTTGTTATAAATTGCATTACTCACTGTAATTTTCTTCACATTCAGGCATTTGAAGACGTCTACATTGAGAAGAGGAAGACCATTAAAGTAATGTTGGAGTTTGCGGACAAAATCTTTACCTACATCTTCATTCTAGAGATGTTGTTGAAGTGGGTGGCGTATGGATTTGCCAAGTACTTCACCAATGCCTGGTGCTGGCTGGACTTCCTCATTGTTGATGTATGTTGAAACACCTCAGCTTATACAGAAACACACTTACTTGTTTAGACAATTCTTAGTTAGTTTGTTTTTTTGTTCCAGGTCTCGCTGGTCAGTATGGCAGCCAATGCCATGGGATATTCTGAACTCGGTCCCATAAAGTCTCTGAGAACCCTGCGAGCTTTGAGGCCCCTGAGAGCCCTGTCACGGTTTGAAGGCATGAGGGTAAGAGTCACTGGATTTCCCCACCCCCAGTCACAGTGTACAGTATACCAACGGCTGACTGCATGGGTACAGAACACAAGCACTCTGCAGTCTAATACAGAGCATAAAACTATATGACTTTGCAAAATACTCTAAAAATGTGTTGCATGTAAATGAAGCATTCCTGTCCTTCCCTAATCCTCTTTCTCCAGCTGTTATATGTCCTCAGGATTGACTTAAATATTTAAATGACACATTGATTACATGACTTTCTTCTAAATTATTATCTAATTATACACCAGTGATTCAGGATTTTGATTAAAGGAATAATTTGACATTTTAAGGGAATGTGCTTTTTCACTTTTTTGCTGAGATTGTTGATGAGTAGATTTATACTATTCTCATATCTGTTAAATAAATGTGATGCCAGTATATCGTAGCTACGTTTAGCAATAAAGAGTGGTAACATGGTTAAAACAGTAGGCCTGACTCTGTACAACGGTTAAACAAATCTGCCTACCAGCACCTCTAAATTTCGCTGATTAACAAGTTAATGTTGAATTAACATAAATTAACTCCTCATAAACACTTGGTACATTGTTTTTTGTAGACATTAAACAAAACATGTTAATTAGTAAAATTTAAAGCTGTTGGTAGGTGGATTATGTTATCTTTTCATGGAGTCAGGCTTGTTGTTTCTAGTATGCTAAGCTAAGCTAACCCTCTCCTGGCTCCAGCTTCATATCTAACAGCTAGATATGTCAAACTATTCCTTTAAGTGACGCCATATCTATTGTAACAAAATAAAATATATTTTAGTATTATTTTGTAAATATTTTGCTCTGCAATGCAAGCATGGGCTTAAACAGGGTTTGACAACTTATGTAACTGAAGAGGGAGGGCTTGTCGGCTGCTGAAATCAATGTAGCATGTATTGATTAGTTGCTTTCATGTTGTGGTGGTCTAGATTTACAGCACTATTAAGATCTTTCCTCACGTGGTAGCCAGTGAATTCCCTCATTTGCATGAACAGCTTTTCATGTGCGTCAGTAGGGCTTCATTAGTTTCCATTATAATTTCACTGTTTTGGATATTGTTTGCTGGGTTCTTTAACATGATTTCTTCATGTTTTATTTATGTTTCTGTTTACAGTAAGCAAATTTTCTGGCGTCGTCCTGCCTCTACAAGGTGTTCTGTTTCAACATTTCTCTGAAATTTAGTTGTAACTCACTAAAACCATTTTTATATACATAGAATCAATCTCCAGCCTCCTCTCCTGATTCTTTTCCCACCTTTACCATGCAGTTATCGTTGTATTTGAGCTTTGGTGTTAGTCATAGCTGTGTTGAGCTCATGCTGATGTGTATGTTGGCTCTGAAACATTCACTCTTGTGTTTTCCTATTCTTACCATTACCATTAGTGTACAGTGTTGTGCATCTGTTCTAAATAATTTGATCCCTGTCTGCTGTACAGATTTGTTATGTTTGTGTATTGGTGTGCAGGTGGTTGTTAATGCCTTACTGGGAGCCATTCCTTCCATCTTCAATGTGCTGCTGGTGTGTCTCATCTTCTGGCTCATCTTCAGCATCATGGGAGTCAATTTATTTGCGGGGAAGTTCTACGTTTGTGTCAACACAACCACAGATAAGCCTTTCCTTCCATCAGAGGTGGAAAACAAAGATGCCTGTTCAAGCTTGGGTAATTTGTCTCGCTGGAAGAACCCCAAAATCAACTTTGACAATGTTGCCATGGGTTACCTTGCACTGCTACAAGTAGTAAGTGACTGACTCGTTTGATAGTGTTTGATGGTTTTGCAATGTCTGCAATATTAAGTATTTTAAGTATATGTTGTTGGCTGTATTGGTGGAAAATTGGCAGTGACAAACACATCAAAGGGCTAATACAATATATTTCATGGATATTGTTCATTTCTATGCAGGCTACATTCAAGGGCTGGATGGATATCATGTATTCTGCTGTGGACTCTCCAAACAAGGTGATCACGTTTGTTACATTTTAGAATCTTTTTATGAAATTACCTTGAAATTACTTACTACTGATATTACAGTCATTCAATGTATTTTAATAGTTAATGGGCCCAGACCTAAAATTTAAGCTACCTGTACCATCTGTAGGCAAATTATAGCTGCAATATTTTTTAAATTCCTATACATTCATAGACTATGTTTTAATATGATATACATTACTGCCATCTTATTAGTGTATAATAATCTCTCCAAATTTGCTTTAATTCAAAACTGGGAAAGTGTCTTCCCTCTTTCATTATATCCCCTCCCTAGGGTGTGTCTGGACTACTGGCCACCATTAGATATTTATGATAAGCAGTGAAATAAGTAGTGTTTGAAGTAACTATGAGTAGTAAGTAGTAATTTGTGTGTGGGCAAAACTTTACCAAAATGTACCTAAAAATTTACTTAAAAATTGTTTATAGGGTCAGTATACTTTAAGTGATAAAAGAATGAATGATAGTAGTTTTGAATGAAAGTAGCTTTTCTTATTTATTGGATATTTTGTTATTTTCCCCTATTGGTGCCTCTGCATAATTTGTTTTAGCTAGCACACATGGCAGAGGACATGAAAGTGAATTTATATCTGTTAGTGTTGGCAAGTGGATTCAGATTCAGACATTGTTGTTTGTGTGTTTTTTGGCAATTATGCAAAGGCACTAATGGGGGAAATTATGTAAAGCTGTTCCCGTGGAAAGGTTATCATGTATTAAATCATTTATATTGACCCTATAAAAATGTTTTAATTCTGATGGTACCGATATCTGGTCTGGCTCATGGGTTACCTGTAATTATCTCTCTATGTATGGAACATTTAAAATGGCTAACTCAAAAGGAATCAAACAATGATTTTAAAAAAGACTACAATACACATGTTGTAATATGACAAAATATATAGTTTTTTAGTAAATCAATTTCTTTTTTTTCTCACATTACTTTCTATGACACATTAAAATCGAATCACCACACAACAATAAACAGGTGTATTGTATTTCAGTGTTCTAGCAGGGAAGCTTAAACCTGCCAATACTTAGATCCCATCCAGACATGTATTAAGACATACATACAAAAAGTCTGCTTTGAATAAAAATGTGTTTTTTCAGCAATGAAAATTCCACATTAAAATCCTTCTACCTCATTCAAAATTCACATCAGTGTATGTACACTGGTGGCTTCAGGTTTCTACATCACACTTTAAAACTACTTGGGATGTCACAAATCATGCTGATAGACCCCTCCCTTTAAAATTAGATTTTCAATGACCACAGAAAAACTTTCCACTTTTAGCAGATGAATGTGAAAACATCCTTCTAGTGTCAAACTCTGCACATAAATCATTCTGTACAGTGAAGCTCAAACATCAAACTGTAGGAACAAAAATCATCAGTTGCCAAATCAGCCAGGACTGATATGTTCAGGATTATAACTTTAACTAATGTACTAATGTCTCCATTTTCTGTCACTATTATAGCAAGACTTACAACCAGAGTATGAGATCAACCTGAAGATGTACACGTATTTTGTTGTTTTCATCATATTTGGAGCATTCTTCACACTCAACCTCTTTATTGGTGTCATCATAGACAATTTCAATCAGCAAAAGAAAAAGATAAGTATCAAATCTGCTTTTTAAAGAAAACGTGATATTTTACTTGCTAGTTTGACAGAAATGCAATATTAAAAAGAAAAATACCATCAGTTTCTCCATAGGCAGTATCTCTACTTCACATCATTGTGATTTAACATGCTTTACATCTGCTCTTTACCTAGGAGGTCAAGACATATTCATGACTGAAGAACAGAAGAAATACTACAATGCAATGAAAAAGTTGGGGTCAAAGAAACCACAAAAACCTATTCCTAGACCATCAGTATGTACATTTAATCATGACAGTATCTAATCTGCATTACTGCTCAGATTTTTCTGTTTCATCGCACTTAAAATTTATTTTTGTTTCTCCACCTTGTGTCTATTTCAGAACAAAATTCAAGGATACATCTTTGACTTCACCACAAAACAAGCGTTCGATATTGTAATAATGGTTCTAATATCGCTTAATATGGTAGCCATGATGGTGGAAACTGCTGACCAGTCAAAGGAAATGGTAGCCATTCTCGGGAATATTAATAAAGTATTCATTGTCATCTTCAGCGGAGAGTGTTTGTTGAAGATGATCTCGCTTCGCCATTACTTTTTCACAAATGGTTGGAATATATTTGATTTCATCGTGGTCATCCTGTCAATCATTGGTATGACACGCCTCTGTTCGCCATGGTGCTCAAATAAATTTCCAGCATTCATTTTATCCGTATACATGTTTTGTTTACAGCTTGTTTATTATGTTTTCTTTTCTTTCCTTAGGTATGTTTCTCTCAGAGTTGATAGAGAAGTATTTCGTTTCGCCAACCTTGTTCAGAGTCATCCGACTGGCTCGGATAGGCCGAGTCCTTCGCCTTATTAAAAGTGCCAAAGGAATTCGCACACTCTTGTTTGCCTTGATGATGTCACTTCCTGCCTTGTTCAATATTGGTCTCTTGCTCTTCTTGGTGATGTTTATTTATGCCATCTTTGGCATGTCAAACTTTGCCTATGTCAAGAGGGAATCAGGCATTGATGACCTTTTCAATTTTGAGACATTTGGCAACAGCATGATCTGTTTGTTCCAGATCACCACCTCAGCTGGGTGGGATGGCCTACTAGCTCCCATTCTCAACAGAAATACAGATGATTGCGACAATAAAATGGAGCATCCTGGCAGTTTGGTTCGGGGAGACTGTGGAAATCCCCCTGTGGGAATCGCCTTCTTTGTGAGCTACATCATCATATGTTTCCTGATTGTGGTGAATATGTACATTGCAGTTATCCTGGAAAACTTCGGTGTGGCCACTGAGGAGAGTGCGGACCCACTAAGTGAGGATGACTTTGAAATGTTTTATGAGGTCTGGGAAAGGTTTGATCCTCATGCATCACAGTTCATGGAGTACAATAAGCTGTCGGACTTTGCAGATGCTCTGGACCCACCGTTATGCATAGCCAAGCCTAACAAGCTTGAACTGATCTCCATGGATCTACCCATGGTGAGTGGTGAACGCATTCACTGCCTGGACATCCTGTTTGCATTCACAAAACGTGTTCTGGGTGAGGGTGGGGAGATGGACATCCTAAGGGCGCAGATGGAGGAGCGCTTCATGGCCTCCAATCCTTCCAAAGTGTCCTACGAACCCATCACTACCACCCTCCGCCGCAAACAGGAGGACACGTCAGCCATTGTCATCCAGAGAGCATTCAAACAATATGCAAGGAAACATGCTGCCAGTAAGCCCTCTGCCACATCCAGTGATAACATTCAAAAGGATGAAACACTCATTGATAAAGAGGATCTTGTCACAGACAAACTCAAAGAAATTTCTAGCGCTGATAAGGGTGAACTTACAGCTTCAACGGCCCCTCAACCTTCATGTAACAGTGTGATAACCAATGGAAAAAACAAATATGAAAAAGACAAAAGTGAAAGGGAGGTTGTGGGCAAAGATGTTGAAGAGCAAGATAAATAAAAGAATGCTGGAGATTTAACAAAGACATTTTAATTAATGACAAAATGTTTACAACTTTTGAAAGTGACTGAGACTGAGATCCCTTCTTTAGTATGGATATCTATGTCAAACTGACCATGCTGACTTGAGTCTGAAGGTTGGTGCCTAAGTAGCTCATGCAGGCAGTAGTGGGACCACTTTGACTGTGTTCAGGAGCAAAGATGTCTTTTGGCTGTTGGTGGGGATGGGCAAGTGTTCTGAAAGACACATTAGTTACTGCTTTAACTTTTATTGCAGCTAGCTCTGCTATCCAGTGTCTAGAATTATTGTTATATCACTGAATGTTGTATTACTTTAGCTACTTATTTTCCAAGCAGAGAAAAACAATTGTAATGTTATTACTTTCAGAATTCATAGTTTGGTTAATTGACTTTTTATACTTTTTTTTACTCTTCAAAAGCGTTGTTCCTTCAGGGGTAGTCTTTACAACAAGCAGCATTGCTTTAAGGCTAGTCTTGCTAACTAATAGCACTTAGAATACTTGACAAATCCAAGAGACCACGTCGGAGTTTCTGCAGTAACTAGAAATGTAGACCTGCATGAATGTTTCTCCATGATTATGCATGCTAGAGTGTAGCTAGAGAGTAGCTCTCTCTCTCTGTCCGTCATGCTTCATGATGCAGAGTATACTGTCTGGACATGGCTGATTTTTATACATTACAGAAACACAACCTTAGCCTCCAAACAAATCCAGCTGATTATGTTTGGTTATCAGTGTCAGAGCAGTAACACATGGCATAAATACTTTGCACATTCAGTTTTATTCAGTCAACAAAATCAATCACATAATTCATCTCAGCCTGTGGTGTTATTTATTTACAATATTGCTAACTATGTGCTAATTTTATCATGAAACTGTGCTAAAAACAGAGTCTTCAACTGAAGGTTTTTTTCTTTCAAAGTTGGAAATTCAAGAAAAAGCTGATGTTGTTTGTACACTGTAACCGACCCTGTTATAAGTTACCTCTCTTTACCACAAATCTCTGACAGTTTGCTCTAGGAGGAGATTATCTGTAAAATTGTCAATTTGCAGGATGGCAGTGTCACTTAACATGTTTTGACCTCTACTAAATACAGGTCTCCTCCATGTGTCTACTTTTTACTCATTTTGTCTGTTTGTTTTTTTCTTAGCTGTGTTTGATGATAAACCTCAATGTGTATTCTGTAATGATTATGAAATGACGGAGTTTATGGAACAATTTCTATTTATTATCTGTGATACAAAACTAAATATATTCTCCATGTATGTGGGCAGATACGGATATTGTGTATTCAGCAGGAGCTGTAAGGTGAAAAATGTAAATGTCCATGAATACTGTTATATGGATGGTAATTTTTCTTCATAAGACAAAGCCATGTGTTTGATTACTGGTGATGTTATATGACTATGCTAGCTAACCTTTACTTCACTTTATTCAACCTCTAACTGTATATTTTGTTTGGAAATGGGGACTGTAAAAAAGGGGAGATGCTCTTTTATGTTTGTGTGTGCTTTGTAAACTGATTTCTTACAGTTTACCTCTCAATCTTTATCATGATAAATATCTAAGTTGGATGAAAAATGGCTGAGAATATTCTGAATGATTGTCTCAAGGACATGGCATCACACATCTCATGTGCCCTTGGTTGTTTCCTACTTCTGTTTACATTTTATAGTGGCAGTTGTGTTACTTTTGTCAGTTCTTCCCATAGCTATGACATCCACCCTAAACTGTGTCACAACTACATCTGTTGTTCCATGCTATAAAAGTATAATTCCATTCATGTAAGTATATTTTGCATGTGATTAAAACATTTAATACCTACACTATACTTTATGCATAATGAAAGAATGTTTTGATTACACAGGATTCCACATCTCCCATCATTCATATGCATAATGCTTGTAGTGTATAAATAAACCGCATGCAAGACACTGCTATAACCCATTTCACTGAAACGCCAAAAGAATAAAGATTACATGTACCTCAAGTATGAGTAAAACATTCATTTCTTTCAGCATGCTATATAAAAGAAGTATATGTATTGTTTTATGTATGTAAGGGTCAGTTTGATTTAGGTTTCTTTCTTTTTGAGTTGACTGTGAGAGTGTGGTTACAGGTGGATTGTAGGAGAAATAACTAACTGCCCAAAGATTGGCTCTTTATGCATTGCTTATCTTTGTTCTAGTGAAACGGTGTACTACTTATGTCTGTCTCTTCAAATCCCCTGTTACAGTAATAACTGTTCTGTCTTATCTAGCGACGTTCAGCAATATTTGTTTTTGACTTTAACTGCAGTAGCCAGGGGCAAGAGAATTATTCATGGGATGGTGAGAGGGTGGCAGGGAGACTTTAAGGGGTGGCAGAAAGATGTTTGTGAGCTTTATCATTTGGTATCCACGTTGTGTAGGGCCTGAGCTTTTCTGCTTTTGTTTTTGCTATGTGCAGGTACAGTATAGCCTTGTTTAAAACTGCTTACATTTCTTGAGGTTGATATTCTTGCTCAAACACTAACTAGTATAATTTACATAATATACTGTGATGTGCACAGTTTTATTCACAGGAAACCAAAACAGAGATCCTAGAATTGGTATAAAATAATGTTTTCTTTCTCTTAATATTTGTCATCAGAAACACCAAAATAATGTAGTCTACATTACTTGAATAAGCTGTAGTAAGTCTGCAGAATTTTTATGTAGTGAGAAGAGCACTGGGAACAGCAGGGTCCAAGGGGGCTTTTCTCATATGTGTCCGGTTGAAAGGGCACCAGAGACCACCAGAGGTTGATGCCTAGCTGACAGGCCACTGACGGCAGCACAATTAGGATCAATGTATCACAACTGTTATCTCTAGAGAAGGCAACGTGTGAAAAAAAAAAATGTGAAAAGAGCACTTAGGCACCCAAAACAAAATGCCATGATTGATATGTGTTTATTTTACATTCTTTTCCCACATGCTTCTTATTTTTTCTGCGTAAGCATGAGTCAGCCTGTCTAGCTTTCCCTAGCATCTGACAATTGTGAATGTGCAGCGATTCACACGTTTCCGTTGTAGTTAACGGCGGGTATTTTCTAGATTTTCATTGTCAATATTTTTTAGAATTAATGCTGTATTTTAAGGAGCCAATGGCCTACATTAACTATACTGGATCTTTATTTGGTAATATCATTGATATCGTGCAGGCGATGATTCATGACCAGTTGAATGATATTGACGAGAAATCATTGTGGTAGTTTCCAGTCAAGTGAGAGGACTTCATTCAGAAAAATTAAGCTAAAGTGCTAACCATATAATTTGGAGGCATTAAGCATCCGCTGTTAGAGTTATAAGCTTTATGATTGTTACAATGCTGGTAGCTACTCAACCGCAATCAGCATTAGTGTCATTTCAGAACCTGTAAAATGTTAAAGTTATCAGTGTCCATTTCATGTGCAAAATGTAATGAGCACTTTAACTGTAAATGCTTCGACTTATATTGATCTGTTAGATCTCTTGGGATATTGAAAGCACTTATGAATGTATGACTTGAAATCATCTTGAGTGACATGAAAACATCAAACTATTTTAGTCAGTCCTGGTCAGGAAGGCCGTTTCAGAGCTGAAAATGTGTCCATGTTTTTGATATTCTCTTTTCAGTGAGCAGTATGTTTCAACAAACATCTGAGCAAGAAGCTAGAATCTGGTTTCTGAGTGTGCTTTGTGTCTCCTGCCGGAAACTATTAGCAGCTTAAGTGGGTGGAACATTTTATTAATTATTAATAACAAATATTCATTACAGTCCAACATCGCTTTTACCTATTGTGGCTACTGAATCCTGAGGGCAGTAAACAGGAGGATGATAGCAAAGTGCTGATTATTCCTGCCAATCTGTCTCAAAATGATGATGTTATTATCACCACACCCACTGACAGCACATTATGGCTCACGTGTTGTTTTCCTGACAAGCCAGTGAGAAGATAAATGTTTGCTAGCTTGCTCTCAGAACTCAAGGCATTATAACAGAAACAAACAGGCCAATTAGTTAAATGATAAACATCAAAAGATTCTTATTCTGTGGAAGATTATTGTCTAATTTCACCCATCAATTGATGTAAAAGAGCCAATACACATTTGACATGTACCTTATGACTGAAACCAGCACACACCTGATGGCAACTGGTGGGGTTACAGATTGCCCTTTTTAATGACCAGTAAATCAAGAGTGATTCTGCAGATTCTCCTTGCCGGTTGCCAAGCAACATGACATCAAGCTCCTTTGTTAGACTGCATTAGGGTGGAAGGTCGGAAGTTGGTCTGCCGTCCCCACCCAGGGAGTCTCGCAAGCTGCATGGGCAATAATATGTGGACATGTTATATGTGAAAGGATGTCTATTTGGCTCGGGATCTCGCCCACTGGCATGCATGGAAACGCAGGATGAAAAACAATTCAGAGAGAAATCTGAGAATGCTACTCATAACAGCTCTGTAATTTTATTTGCTGTAGATAGATGGGGAGAAAATCCTATTAGATTAGGTAGCGGTGAGTAACCCCCCCCCCCAACCTTCCCCAATGTGCTAATAGACAGACACACAGACAGACAGACACAGGCACACACTCACTTTTTATCTCGACCACTAAATCGCACAGATTCACACACACACACACACACACACACACACACACACACACACACACACACACACACACACACACACACACACACACACACACTTCAAGTGAACCACTCCCTCAGTAACTCACATACATCAACACACAAACACACATACAGCAGTTTACAGACAACACCTTATCAAGGGCAGATGATTGCACAAATTCAACCTTTACTTTTTACTGTTTCATTCTACATATTACAATTAAATATGTAAGAAGACAGAAATCCCTCACCATCATCATTACTTGTTGTTTACAGGGGTAAATTAGTACCGTGTGTGTGTGTGTGTGTGTGTGTGTGTGTGCCATCAAATTTCAAGCAACTTTTTTATTATTGCAACACATATGGAAAAAATAAAATAAAAGAGTTCATTAGAAAGTGAGCTGCGTGTATTATTGGGCATGGCTCTTTGATCAATAATGGTCTGTACAAACCACAATGGATATAGCCATTAGAATGCTACAGCAGTATATCCCAGGGGTACATATTCCACAGTCTTTCCTCTAATAGGTTTTCAAATGCATTCCTTGTAAGTGCAACAACACATGCAGTATTTATTGCTCTTTGCTAAGTGCGACACCTTCATTATCCACCGTGTGTACAACTACATTGTATGATTATTATTGAAAACGCAATGTTATTTGGATTAATGAATTAATGAACACAAAATCGTTCATATCAAATAGATAATATTATGCATCATGTCTATTTCTTCTGGTCACATCATTTCTGACAATATGGGTTCAAAGCTGTGTGAGGTAAATTGTGTGATGCAGCACATAGTCATTTCCCATTGCTGCACATGCACAGAGCTCGATACCAACCTGATTTACTCTTCCATTGATGTGTGCTGCAGAGAGTAATGATTATGTGCCAGAGTTAGTGCTAAATAGTATCTGACAAGGCATGGAAAGGTCTCTCTTGGAACAGTTGCACCCATGCTGGACACTGGCTGCTCCTGCCCTCGACTCAACACTGTAGACATCAAGAGTTCATACTGAACAGTCAATGCATGGTGTTGCGTAACATTAGGCCACCACTGGCAGGATGGAAACATGTTCCCTCTGCGCATGGCAAAACTATGTAAAGATATGTTAATAGGAGGATTTTTTGGGGGTTTGGATTAGCAGAACAATAATAAAACTTATAGGCTATTACACTATAATAAAAATGAGATGTTGACATTATCTTCAAAAGTCTTCCTTAAAGTGAGAATTAAAAATTGTGTATTTCTGGGAAACTGACAGCCCAACAACAAGCCTACTGACCACATGAATCCAACGACTGTGATTGTTAGCCTCACATTATTTCCATACATTCAAAGTAGATTTAACTTTGACATGCAATAGACCTATCCTAGGCCTCAAAACATGAGTTCATAAAATCACTGCGCATATGGTGACACACGAACACGCACACATCCCTTCACCTTCCGTGCATAGACTATACGTTTGTATTATTCGGGTATTATTTGTAGCAATAGTAAAAGTAGTAGTAGTCGTGGTATATATATATATATATATATATATATATATATATATAGTAGCAGTAGTAGTATTAAAAAAGCATGAGTGCGCCACCTGGTGATACAAAGCCGAAACTAGCTCGACTCAAACGTAAAGGTGGCAGCTAAATGATCGTAGTTTTCCTGAGTTTAGACTGTCAGGCTTCCTACCAGGTTGAGAGACCCGACACTGTTCATTAATCATCGCCTAAAAGGTTACCAATGAAATGTTTTACGCAGGATGTAGTGGTTGTATAAGCTATGGTTGTGGTTTGGATCTGCCATTCACACTAAAGAAGACGGGACATACGAGCACCCAGAGAGGAAGTGGTGCCTGGAAGAAAAAACTCAGGGACCACAGCCTTCCGGTTGCGTTACTTAGTTACCGGGCAACGCCAAAGGACTTGATGCAAGATGGCGAAAACACAAAACTGTATTAAAACTATATGGAGGTCGTTCTTGTACTAAAGTACAATGCAGATAGGATAAATTAGCAGTTATTTTCACACTAGTTTACTATTTAAGAGCAAAACGTCTCGGCCAAGATGGAGGACGAAGAGACAGCGTTGGTAAGTGAACGTGTTTTAATGATAACGTTACAGCGACCTGGAGACTAACATTAATATTACAACAATGTCGCAATGTAGCCGGCCAAAGGATACAGAGAAATAGCCAACCTCTTTATAAATTAGGACCTTTCAAAGCGTCAATTCATACTGCTAAACAAGCTAAACACAGGGTTCATTTCACAGGGGTTATTTGCTACTAGCGTAAAAAACCAATGCCTTCTCTTTGTTTTTCCGCAGACTTTGCTCAGGTACTATTGCTATGAAA